ATCTTGCTCTACTGGCTTGTTGCTTATATTTTTTTTTGCACAAATGTATTTGTGGCATTTTGCATGTGAACAGTAAACAAGAAAGTTCACATGTATCGAGACTAACAGTGTAACCTGTAGTCCCAAACCATCTGTGCACAGTGATCCTGACTGACTGCAGTTTTATCTGTTTTTGACCTCTGGCAACGTATTTTCCAGTCACTGCATTCCTGTGGCTGCACGTTGCTGATGTGCTGCTGCTTGCTTATTAGAAGCTTGGCTCACAGAGCAAAGCTGCCGGGTGCAGTACCTACACCCAAAGCCAGATGTCTGACTGAAATATGCAGGCAAAACTAAACCTGATATTTGAGCACTTAACTTTGCAATTTCTATCAAACAGAAAATGTTAGTTTGATGTTTATTGTTATTTGTAGTAACATGATTAACAGTATTTTTTATTTTGAGCCTTATTTTTTATCTTTCTTTTTTTTTTCTTTTTTTTTTCTTTCAGTAATCTTTTTGCAAAACTGTAGTGCATATACTGGTTTTCCTAACAACAATATGGTGACTGTTGAGGCCTTTCTTAAGTTTTGCATCTACAGGATGGGCCATTTATATGGATACACCGTAATAAAATGGGAATGGTTGGTGATATCAAAGTCCTGTTTGTGGCACATTAGTATATGTGAGGGGGCAAACTCCTCAAGATGGGTGGTGACCATGGTGGCCATTTAGAAGTCGGCCATCTTGGATACAACTTTTGTTTTTTCAATAGGAAGAGGGCCATGTGACACATCAAACTTATTGGTAATGTCACAAGAAAAACAATGGTGTGCTTGGTTTCAAGGTAACTTTATTCTTTCATGAGTTATTTACAAGTTTCTGACCACTTGTAAAATGTGTTCAATGTGCTGCCCATTGTGTTGGATTGTCAATACAACCCTCTTCTTCCACTCTTCACACACTGATAGCAACACCGCAGGAGAAATGCCAGCACAGGCATCCAGTATCCGTAGTTTCAGGTGCTGCACATCTCGTATCTTCACACCATAGACAATTGCCTTCAGATGACCTCAAAGATAAAAGTCTAAGGGGGTCAGATTGGGAGACCTTGGGGACCATTCAACTGGCCCACGACCACCAATCCACTTTCCAGGAAACTGTTCATCTAGGAATGCTCGGACCTGGCACCCATAACGTGGTGGTGCACCATCTTACTGGAAAAACTCAGGGAACGTGCCAGCTTCAGTGCATAAAGAGGGAAACACATCTTGAGGAGTTTGCCCCCTCACATATACTAATGTGCCACAAACAGGACTTTAATATCACCGACCATTCCCATTTTATTACGGTGTATCCATATAAATGCCCCACCCTCTATTTTAATATCTATATATATAAACATGATGTTGACAAATGATACAATGGCCATCAGTAAGTTTCAGAAGTTATAGAGACTGTGGAGGCCATTTGAGTACAGTGAACCCATTATCAAGTTCAAGAAACAAGTTTGATACAGCCATCAGAAAATGGGTACACTGTAGTCATAAAGGGAAGGGTATGATCAGCAGTAATGATCACATAGGCTGTGGCATTTAAATAACACTCAGTTGATGCTAAGGTGCCCAAAATATACCAAGAAAATATCCTTCATAGTATTATACTACCATGATCGTGGCTCAAGAGTTGTAATCGGAAGGTTGCCGGTTCAAGCCCCGGCTCCAACAGTCTAGATCATTGTGTCCTTGGGCAAGACACTTCACCCATTGCCTACTGGTGGTGGTCAGAGGGCCCGGTGGCGCCAGTGTTCGGCAGCCTCGCCTCTGTCAGTGCGCCCCAGGGCAGCTGTGGCTACAATGTAGCTTGCCATCACCAGTGTGTGAATGTGTCGATGACTGAATGTAATGTAAAGTGCTTTGGGGTTCATAGGGACCAAGTAAAACTCTACACAAATACAGGCCATTTACCAGTCCGATTCATGAGTTCATGTTGTTTATTCTTAATTCTGACATCTGAATGCTGCAGCAGAATTGACGGTCATCAGACTAGGGAATACTTTTTCATAAATTTCAGAAAAATTCCACAGGCATCAGCAATCAAAATCTTCAAATGTAACCCTTGTTTCTGTACTGCAGGAAATAGTTGATAGAGTGGGAATCCATTCGTTTCTTGAAAAGAATCTTTTAAAAAAAATTATTGGAAATAAGTTAGCAAATTTACAGTAAACTATTTTCCTTTACTATTACATCACACTGAGAAGTGTCACTGATCCTCTGCAATGACAGTAATCATAGGAAACCAGGCTGCGCCGCCCTGCGTCTATAAAGATATAGTCTTTCACAATCAAGACTACCTGCTTGCGGCACACATAAGTACCGTAAAAGAGTACACTTCTCGGCATAAGGCAGTAGTCCTTATACTGCAGGTGGGTGGCAGGTGACACAATAACACAATTGAATGTGTTCCCGGTAGAAATAGATACCAGAGTTATGATCATAGTTTCTGGAAAATCTCCACAATAAACCACACAGCATATTTTACTTTCCACGGCTCACATATTTAGAGTTTTGTTGAGATAGACATTCATATTCCAATAAGAAAATGATTTGTCTATTTGCTTAATCCAGTCCACTCATGTTCCAAAATAGCACTATTTATCTTAAAATATAATAAATATCTAAACTGATTTATCTGTTTGTGTCTTTTCAGTAAATTTTCTCTTGAGCTAAAACAAATTTCAGTCTTATTTAATGATCCTATTTTTACAAAAGGATTGATTTGAGATGAAAGTGGAGAGACCCGGGAACTTGAAATGTGAGATTGTTAATCATTAACGGTTAATTTTTTTGAGTCTCGCAGGTTTCTTGAGGCCGTATCAAGTTTCACAAAATACACACCTGTGTGGACAAAGGAGGGCTTGCGCTAACTGGTGCAAGTTAGCGCAAGCACCAGAAACGGAGAGAGAGAGGGAACATTCAAGTAAGCGGTCTACAGAGTGGAAGTTTGCATACCAAGTGTCACTTCCAACCAGGCTGCTCCCTGTTCTATAGATGCTTTACTGAGAACTTCACTGAGAAAGACTGACAGCGACAACCATTTCTCAAGTAAGGAAAAGCAATACATGTTTATCTGTGTTAATGTAATAAATTCTCTCTTTTTTTCTTTTTTTTACAACTTTGCAATCGTGATGGCATCTAGGTCATGTCTACGTCATTATACGTGTTTTATTGTATTCATCCAGAAAAGGGAGAACTGAGGAAAGAACAGCATCCTGTATGAGTTACAGATATGGGGAACTTCACCAGCTCAGAGAAAACTTTCATAATTCTGTTTCCAAGTTTCGGCATTACTAATCTCTGATAAGAGCATGCCTGATAAAGATGTCTTAGCTTTAAAGGGGATTCCCAGATTTTAAATTTCTGTAGTCCCACACATTTTAAAGTTCTTCATATGAACATTCTTTCACTGAAATTTCATGGAATGATAAGATCAATCTCTGACGTCATTGAAAAGAAACGGAAAGCTGTGCGGAATTAACGTGTATGCGTTGCGTCCATTCGTGATGGGCTAAAGTTGGACATAGTCAAATACAACATTATCAGCTGTTTTAACAGGAGATTTTTGGAGTTGTTTCTGCAAGCATATTTTTATTTTAATTTGTGTAAATTTGGCATTGTAATACTCGACACCATTAATATGTTTTTAAACGACCTAATATGTGAAACAAAATCACTCTGCTTAAATTCTTCTGAGGTTTGCACAGAATTCAAATGTGCTGCTAAAATAATTGTTGCTCAGCAATGCTTTCGTAGAATAAGCGATACAAACGCTCGAAAATAGGAAGTTCTCTTATTTGGTTCATGTTCATCATCATTACGTTTGAGTCTCAGCAGAAACACACATGTATTTAAGTTAATATGTAACTTATTACCAAGATGTTCATGCCGTCCTTGAGCTTTGCACACAACTAGATTTAAAAGAAAACAGAAGATACAAACAACAGGTGGCTTCCACAAAGAAGTTAATTAATTTTATCTGCATTAGACTGGATGTCACGTCACAGAACTGATAGGATCATCAAAAAAAAAAAAAAAAAAGAAGCAGTCTTTTAATGGAATCAAACAAGGGCGTACAACAGCTTTATTAGATCACTGGCTTTCTCTCATCTTCTCTTTTATTGTGTGTGCAAACATTTTGTCAGCTGTTGTTTAATCATGTCAGACTGTTGGAGACGGTAAATACTGTGACTGCAGCATTCACGCAACTTACATTGTTTGCCTGTGAGAAATGTAATATAGCAAAGGGGATATAAATGATGCCTGATTTTCTTTGGTAAAAAAAAAAATGTGGTAAAAAAAAGTGGCAGTGTGTAATGCTGCTTGATGACAATTTTCCACAGGCTTCAATGGGTAAACTCACAAAAAGACTTCATGCATGTAATTCAGGGTGGAGGCTCTAAATGTCTTATTAATTCTACCCCAGCCTGAATTCCAACAAAGTAACAGCAGTTATTGGCTGAAAGAGACCTACGGTAAGCAAAAATGATTAGCTTCAAACTGATTCACTCCGGCAAGTCTACCTGTATACTGTAGCAGCACACCTGAAGTACTATCAGTCCCTCCATTTTCTTATATAGTGTATGCTGTGAGACAACTGATGATACCATATGAGAGTCCAAGTGATGAAGGGTTGTTTCTTTTAGTAGACCAGGTCAAACAGCACAGTCAGCTCCTGTTTATTTACAATGGTTCTTTCTCTTCAGATGACCTTATCAGTCTTCTCTCTCGCACACTCCCAATGAAGCTTTTTTTCTTGCTCTGCCGTCTATGCTCAGTGTCCCATTCACAGTGGCTTCATTTTTAGAAACTCTGACTTAGTGACCAGGTCGGTCACTGAATGCACCTTTAAAAGATAATTTAGCTCTTCAGAATATTAAGAAGAGATATTCTGCAGCATGGCTGAAACAGACGGGGATGTTGGACCTTTAGTCACAATCTCAACAGTCACTACAGTTGTCACTACAACTGTGGTGTGCTTGTACATATAGTATTACAGTAATCTAAGTAATCAAAGTAATCATTAGACTGTCAAAAAAAACAGATTGGAGACACACCTAAACCTCCGAGAGTACGCCGTGCCACTGGAAAATTCAAGTTTTACTGGTTTGTGTGTTACGTTTGTGTTTTTGCATCCATTTGTATACATGGAGATGGTTTGCCACATGAATGTGTGTTTGCGTAAAATTTGAAAGCCAAAGAATGACTGAAAGGGGGGGTAAAGAACATGACAGGAGAAAAATACAAAGAGAGCATGCTTTGTGTCGCAGAGGCTAAAGAAGTTTAGATATGGAGGACGGTGTGGGAGGAGGGACAGAAATGAGAAAAGCGCACAGGTAGAGAGAGAGACAGAAAGCAAGGGAAAGAGGAGGGTTAAAGTGTCAGGTTACCTGGACTTTAGTTTTGTTTTGTCAGTGGGAATCGATCGTTTAAAAGAAGCTCTCCGTGTTGATTTGAAAGGCTACGTATTATCAAGCTTCATTGCGGCCTTGGGATTTTGAAGAGGGGCATCTGATTAAGTTACTGTAATACAGAAAGAAAACAGGAAGGAAGAAGGAAGACAGTGGGAGACTCAACTGAGCCAGGTTTTGTAGCATGACGGTAAGAGGAAGGGGACAAAGATAGCCAAGGGACAGCAAAATTTCTGAGGAATCCCACCTCCTGAAAGGGAGGGCAGTGTTTACTCTGTACTCTGTGACAAGCTACATCAAGCCTTACCAAAAGAGACACCTTCACCATGTGGGTAAGTGCAACTGGAAGTACAATCAACATTATTTACATCGTGTAGGTATACAGTCAATGGCTTGCCTTTAAGAAGTGATTTGAATAATGACCTCTGGATATTACGTGGTAATAAACTTGATAGTTAACGTAATATAAAGACACTGGATAGACCTTTTGCATTGATATTATTTACAACAGCAGCTATGTTGAAAGGATAGCTCATACAAAACCAGAACAGATGTTGTGTAGTGACATATTTTGAGGACCTTATCAACGGTCTGTGACAAGTAGCAGTAACACGCAGGAACATTTCACATTCATAATTTTGCCAATAGAATTTTTGATATTTGAATGTAGAGCACGGCCGTATGAAGAATACAATACTTTTCATAATAACACAGCACGGAAAAGACAGCCACTAATGTTGGACCCACAAAACTGAGTAACACTTAACGCAAACATGGGTATACAAGAAGTGTGTACGTTTACTCATTTCAGGGTTCATAAAGAGTAATTCCAGTCAAGTCTTTTTTTATAGAGAGAGAGAGATCTAGGTATTTGTTATATTAAAATTAGTAGCTTCACACTCATCTCAAGCAACAAGCGATGCTCCACAATGGCTCTACAGGAAAGATCAACATGCACTGGCTATTGCATAGAAAACTACATATTATATCAGCCTTATTAACATCAATAAACAATTAATGGTCTTATGTTAAAAAGGAAAAATGACAAAGTATCACACACGTTCCCAGAGGATGACTCTTGTGTGTGTGTATGACTGTTACTACAACAAAGCAGTAAAGGAAACATACTTGAGCTTACCGTATCAACGGCTTTTTTCTGTTAAACTTGACCCAATTATACTTTTTCCCTTCAAGGCTTTTTGGCAGCAGTCCACTGTATGAATCAGCTAGGCTTATTAAAACTGGAAGCTTACTGTAGGTGGCAATACAGAAGGAATCTCACCTTATTGCGATCGCAAGTTATACCCTAAGAAGGAGTATCCTTAACTCCAAACACAAAGCTGTTGGTTTTTGTTCTGGTTTTTTTTTGTTTGTTTGTTTGTTTGTTTGTTTTAAATTCATGTATAAAGGACATTTATATTTACATACAGTATTTTGGTTAACAGCCAAATAAAACCAAGGACTTCTATTCATATCAAGTCATTGTTATCAATGACTTGATATAGGCTGTCATTGATAGAGCCTTGGTTTTATAGGCTGTCATTTTTTTTCCCACTTGTACTTCACCACTGGCCTTTTGACGAGCAAACATTACTAACAGTGTTTTTGATCCAGTGCAGCACTTCCAGTGTTTTTCATAAACAGGTTAGTTGTTGCTCTGAATAACACATGACTAACTAGTACTACAAGGCTGTTTTGAAATACTGCCCTGACTCATAAAATCGTTTATATTTGTCTTGGTACCAATGACAACATCTAAGTTTCCAAGTACACTGTCGTCATATCTCATGGCATGACAATGCATTTTTACAGGAAGGTCCACTCAAGACAAATTTCTTTAGCCGGCTTCTTGGTTTCCCATGTTGTAAGGCCTGCCCACTGTTTTGTTTATCCTGCTTTTATTACTTCCCGAAATAACTGTAATTTATACCACAAGACGATAACCTACTTTCTCCTACTGTTTACTTCCCCCCATAAACGTTACTTCCAGTTGGTTTCAGGGATGGGTGTGTCTGGTTCTTTTGTGACTATGTATTGACTAACAGTGGTTAAAAATAAAATAGTTAATTAAAATGGTGAATGTTTTATTTTAAATGAATAAGCCAGCCAGATGAAACATGGTGAAACACACATGAAATCTCAGAATCACCTTATATTGCTTTTTTTGTTTCTTTATTTTTTAAGTATATGGATGTAGACTAACTACAGCTTAACAGCATATTTACTGTAGGAGTGTAAAATTCTCATGTTATTTGCAAAGTGCCACTGGATACTGGATTTCTATGTAAAGTGAAATCTGAGAATTCTGAAATGTCAGTAAATGAAACAAAGAGGAAGGTGTCACATTCTTTTATACACTGTATTCAACTCTTGTACTTTAAGATGAAAGCTGAATGCTGAACATAAGCACATGAGCAAAACCAGCACAGAGCTACTGAGCTACTGTTCAGAAAAAAAAGAAAGAAAGAAAAACCTGCCCAACAGCATTCTTCGCCCCTCTCTCTCCGCAACTTGTATATTTCCACTGACAGACAGTGGCAGTTATGGGATCTGTTTTCAAAATTTGCCTTCATACTTCTCTGTAGCTCTACCAAATTAAGTGATACTAGTGACACATAAATGTGCAAATAGAAGGGTGGATTACCTGATACTTCTGCATCAAAAATAAGCAGTAGTGAAAATGAAAGAAAATAACTCTTCCCATTTTTAATCTTTGTCTTTTGTTTTTTGTTTTGGTTCTGGAAAGTCCTCACTGGTTAGTGACCTGCATGTTGTGTTTTTGTACCAGCCGATCTGAAGCATACGTGCTACGCTAAATGTATTTGTAATCTAGCGGTTGAAGAGCTTTGAGGACAAGACAAAGGTAGAACAGCAGGCTGATGAAAAGTGTTCTTCGAGCTACCCCTCTGTAACAAAATATACCGTATACTAAAATCTTCTAATAGGCCCGTCAGCAGCCACATTGATGTGACACTTGATCTACAGTATAATGCTACAGGTGAAACCACATGACTAGCATAATGTGTGCCAAATGTTGGAAATGCAGTGAGACTAACAGTCATAATTGAGCATAGCACAACACAGATAACCTTTGTTTGTGAAAGGCATAAAAGTGGTTGAGATTCAAAATGTTGACATATGTTGTTGAGATGCTGGGGATAAGCAAGTAAAGGTTTGCATTTTTCGAGGGGGAACAACATTACAGTAGCATTTTAGGAAGTTTAAGAGGGAAGTAGTTATGTAGTTATTATTTCACACAGCACAGTACAGAAAGAGATTTCACCAGTTTTGTTCAGTAAAATGTTTATTTAATTCCTATTAAAGACTATAGAATTTTACATTCATATTAAGAACACAACTTGCAATTTTAATTGCAAAGGTGACTGGACTTGAGGAACAGTAATGGCAGTCAAGCATGACAATCACTCTAACAGATACTCCGAGCCGAAGCCATGGGAATTTTTCTGTGTTGTACACTTTTTATTTTGCTCGCTGCTGTGTGAAATTCATGAACGCTCTACATGCTTGACTGAGCAGTTTACACCAGTATGACAGAAACACCATACTTTTTAAATAGATTTTTTTCCCAGTCCCTTTATTGCACAAGAAATAAAGAAGCTAACAAGTTTATCAAGTGTTTTTTGAACCTAAACAAAGCTAAGATATTTTACCAGTATATACAGTGGTGTGAAAAAGTGTTTGCCCCCTTCTAGGTTAAATTTTGTTTTTGCTCTTTTTCTTTTTTTTTTTTTGCATATTTGTCGCATTTATACATTTCATATCATCAAACAACTTTGAAGATTAGACAAAGGAAACCTGACTAAATACAAAATTTATGTTTTAAATGATGATGTCTTTGATTAAGGGAGAAATGTTATCAAAACCTACCTGGTCCTAATTTTCTCTCTTCTTAAATGATGAATTAACTACATTTCATGAAAATCTGAGTTCAGTTCCAATAAGCACACCCAAGCCTGATTACTGGCAGACCTGTTGAATCAAGAACTTGCTTAAAAAGAACCTTTCCAAAAAAGTAAAGCAGGCTATCATGCCACAATCTAAGTTACTGTCATACTACAGTTGTAGCCACAGTTGCCCTGAGGCAGACTGACAGAAGCGAGCTGCCATATCGCGCCATCGGCCCCTCTGGCCAACACCAGTAGGCTAAAGTGTCTTGCCCAAGGACACAACGACCAGGACAGAGATCCTGGGGATCGAACCGCCGACTTCCCGGTTACAGATGCGCTTCCCAATCCCCTGAGCCACAGTCACTGTGAACCACAGTGTGAGCCATTATACACAAACTGAGAAAACTTGGAACAGTAGCGAAGCTTCTCAGTAGTGAACGGCCAACCAAAATTGCAAAAAAAGCATATATGACTCATCCAGGAGGTCACAAAAGACCACCAGTACAACTTTAAGAACCACAGGAACATAAATGTTTCTGGCCTATCAAGACATGGAGGAGAATGTGCAGCCATTTGTTTATGTTGAACCCAAGTGTGCTCTGCAGCAGGACAATGATCCAAAACACACCAGCAAGTACACCTCTGAATGGTTTAATAAAAACAACATGAAGACTTTGGAGTGGCCTAGTCCCGCTGTGGTATGACCTTAAAAAGGTGGTTCATGCTCAAAAACTCTCCAATGTGGCTGAATTATAACAATTCTGCAAAGATGAGAGGGCCCAAATTCCTACACATCTCTGTAAAACACTCATTGCCTGCTATCATAAATGCTTGATTGCAGTTTTTTTCTGCTAAGGGTGGCCCGACCAGTTCTGAGGTTTAAGTCCAGTCATCTTTTTACACAGGACCATGAAGGTAATTTTTTCCCCCTAAGTAATAAACACTTTCATTTAGAAACTGCATTTTGTGTTTACTTGTGTTATTTTTGCCTAATATTTAAATTTGTTTGATGATCTGAAACATTTAAGTTTCAAAAACAGGAACTCAGGAAAAGACAAACACTCCTGTTACTCTCAGATTATGAACTATAGCCCTGATAAAACCCGTAAATGCCAAACAACATATCACAGTTCTCCTCTTTTTCTTCTTTTTTGACTGTTCATATACCTCCATGTCATCCTGATGCAATCCTCTTCCTCTGCAATGTTGGCAAATCATTCTTCACTACTTTATTCCACTGTGGTATTCATTTTCCTCTTGTTGATTTAATAGTTAGTAAATTATTACATGAATCTGAAATCTGTAGGTGAATCTGTAGATTCTTCAGATAATTTGTTACCTGAGTTTCTTCACAGATTAGTTGTTCTTGTTGTTTTCTAAAAGTAGCATGTCTTGTCAACAACAGCTAATGAGGGCCAGTGAGGCAGGAAAGGGACTGGTTAGATGTAATGAATATGCACATAATAGCTTAATGGTATGAATGTGAGAGACACCTCAGAGCTGAAGAAATGACTGAGTGAATGAGAGAATAAAATAAGCTACTCTGACTTATAATTGAACAAGAGACACGTATCTTGGTAGTGACTGACTTTCTGGTGTAGTACAGGCAACGAATGAGTGAAAGAAGAAAAATGTGTATATTAACTCGCCTGCAAGTTGAGTAATAGCTTTGGAGCATCTATTTTTAACCACAAAGCTCTGTAAAACTCTTCAAGCTCAGCACCAAATACCTTTTTAATGTCTTTGTAATGTGAATGTAACCATTCGCTGGCTAAACCCCAAATCTCTCCCATGACACATTTGATAATTAGCACATGTAGCACTCACTCTACCTTTTGGAGGTACACTGATTGTCAGTGTTGCCTGATTGTTTCCTGTTTGTATGATGTAAAATAAGAAGCCAACTTCTAACTACCCCATAGAGCTCATTTGGAACCAGCCTCATTAGTTATCATTACTGACCATCAGAATCAGCTTGATATAGCAAATATGCGTACATATACAAGAAATTGATCTCTGGTTATTTCTTTGCTCTCCATGTACACAACAGACAATACTGACAACATGGCATCAACATGACATAGACAACACATAAAAACATGTCGCATATTTATGGTGCAATGGTGCAGAGTGGATAAGGAATGGATAACCGGTTACTATATATACAGTAACTATGCCAATAATATTACCAAAAGTCATCTTTGAACAACTGTTATGTATGAGCTAAAGTAACATCTTGCTATGCCGCGGCTAATGTAAGCTAGCCAGCCACTTTGTGTGTTGTTAAGCAAAAAGGTAAGCAGGAAAAAAGGATTATTCAAACAACTTATGTCAGAGTCAAAGACCATCTGCTCCTATTACCCCTTTGGTGTTACCGATCTCCACTAAAGAGACCAAAGTAAAATGAGCTTACTGAAAAAATATTCTAACTGCAGTCTGTGTAAGGTAAACATTTTTAAAAAGACACTGCAGGGCTTTTTTCAAGCACAATTCAACCTTATGAAAAATCACAAAATCAAGGTGTCATCAGTCATCAGTAAGTGTACTGATTTGAAATCATGGATCTGCTGCTGTCTTAAGTCTTCTGTAGTTAGGTCATTTAGACACATTTCCTAATCTGAAAGCCAAAGTATGAAAATGAAACATAGGCATTACTCGTGACTGAAATTTCGTGACTGAAATGGACTGCATGCACTTACACAAGCTGTTTGACTTGCATAATATGGGCCTTTAACCTGATTCATTTTATGTGAAGGACACTCACCCTGATCTATTAGTTTATACTGTTTCCACAGTATCAGCTTCAGTTAAACAAAAATTTCACTGGGCCCAAGTACAGCCTGTCACAATACTCCTCAGTACACAGGACACTTTGTACTGTTGGTGTATTTTGTGCTTGGGCAATTATTCCAAAAAGACACATTAAAATGTGAACATCACATTCTCTGCCATGTTTCCATAACTTGTCTTTTTCTGTGATCCTCCACTAGACAGATTGTATTTTATGCACTGATCTACAAATGCAGACCCATAAAAGACAGATCCACCGGTTTACTGTTAATACTTAGAGAATTGAAGAAATGGTAAAACCATGAGTATGCAGGGAGGAGATGTTGGTTACTGGCAGAAGGGCTAAGCGAGCTGAAATGGCAGCACTTGAAAAAGCTGTGAAAACAGGTGGGGCAGGCCTACTGTGGTTGGCTGAGTGAGGGCTGAAAGAGGAAATGGGTTAGGGGTTGATTGGCTTTAGCACTGTTGATTAATTGAAACATACTGACAACATGGCAGATCGTGCTGAATTACAGGAATGATGTTAATCAAAAAAAAAACAACCCTAGCTAAAGCAACAAAAGGTAATCAAAGCTAATTAGTCCGGTGGCCTAACGACCACTGATACCATCATGTTAGTAGACTGAACAATGTAACAGAGAGGAGATGAAGGCCCACCTTTTATTCACAGCTGTCTAGATGTGCAGATGAAGGGCAGGTGTGATCAGTCACAAGTAGACTAGGAAATTGGGTCTAGTGTTTCACACACAAACATCCCAACTCAGACGAAGACAAGACACAATGGAGAAGAGCAAAGCACTGTAGGAAACTTAAGTTTAAGAGAGCTATTTTTTACACATATTTAAACACTTATCTGGAACTAAACACAAAAGCTCTGCTGAAAGAGTTTGTGCAAGCTCAGCTACTTACACTGACATTTGCATGGTAAATAAAGCATGTCCATGCTCAGGGAGTTGAAGGAGGTATAACCTAGAGACACAGGCACCTGATGTGATTACACCCCAGTTTTCACCTTTGCTTTTGTCTCTTCTGTCCTCAGACAGCTGCTCAGCTCCCTGAGGAAACCTCAAGGCCATTAAATCCTACAAACCCAGGTAAGCTATAAGTTTGTGTTGGTTTGGGATCAATATATGTATTTTTGCTGCGCTGTAATAATGTTTGCATAGTATGATAAATACTTGGAAACAGCCAGGCCAGGCAGTAATTAGAATTTGCATGTGCACACTTCTTTTTTTTTCCATCTTGACAAATTTTCTACCCTTTTTGGTCTCTGTTCTGCGGTTTCTATTCTGCTATCGCAGTTTCCTGTTTATTGCGTCCTTACGTTTCTTTTTACATTCTGTTATCTCACTTCTAATTATTCTTCTTTCTGCAGTTCCTCGGCCAGGACGCCACAGAAGGCCCATGACGGCTCCAAACACCCCGAAAGAGAAGAGAGCGAAGATCAAGAAAGTGTTGATCACTACACTGACAGTTATGTTGATACTGGGCATACTGGCCATTGCAGCATACTTCAGTGAGTTACAATTCCTAAAAAATGTACTTCCTCAAAACACACTTTACACACTGCAATATGTAAAACTGGCCACACCCTTGTGATCCTGTCCTTCTCTTTTCTTTTCAGTTAAAAACTTGATTGAAAGCAAATACTTTTTTTGCACACGGTCTGTGAAATTCATCCCGTTAGACAAAACCTGCGATGGGCACATTGACTGTGCAGGAGCAGAAGATGAAATTACCTGCATGACGACCTTTAAAGTAAACACTACATTTCCAGGTAGTGCACTCCCCACTCTTTCTTTGTCATCATAAATAAACGAAAAACTGAAAAATGCCTCCTCCTCATTCCTCTCTCCAGTGCGACTCCAGTCGAATGATCAGGTCTTGCAAGTTTACGGTCCAGGCTCAGGTTGGCGGACTGTTTGTTCTGACGACTGGACCCAAGCGCACACACAGACGGCATGTACACAACTGGGATACACAATGTGAGTTTACAATGACAAGGTGTTGAAATTTGAGGAATACCTTGCAAATTTAACATCCCTGTTATGTGATCTGAAATCAAGCATAAAATCCCCCCCTGCTTCCACAGGAAGCCTACTAGCAAAAACATCTTAGTAAGCTCCTTAACGTCACCGATGAAAACTGGACCATTTACAGCTGTCAGGCCAGGGACCTCAAACACACCTATACAACAAGCCACTGCTGACCGGTAAGGAAGATGTCATCATATGGAAGCCAAATCATGACTTCATGTTTTGCCATTGCAACATAAACTACACAAAATAGAAATGCTAATAAGGGAACTTTCAGTGTGTCTCTTTCTGCTAAATGTATTCTTACAAAGAAGCACCGGCTCCTTGCGAGTTGCTTCTGCATTTAGCTAAAAACAGGATGTCAATATACACTTTCCATGCTTGGTATCCCTGTTTGTTAGGAAAATCTTCACTTTTTCTCTCCTTTTCTTTTTTAGATTTCACTTTTTTCCCCCCCTTTTCATATGCAACCCCTTCAAATGAGTCTTTAGTTTCTATTCCTGAAAGACAAAAAGTCCCACAGTTTTTGTTCCTTCTATCTTATCCTTTACGAAAGTGAACAAAACAAAGATTTCACTTTGTATAAAACCCCAGCAGAAATGCAAACGAAATTCTGCACGAGGGTGAAGACAAGTTAGAAATTGGATGTGTGTTTTCTATATTTGACTAATTGTGAGGCTGTTTTGTGATCATATGAATAATGCCTGACATCTGACCAACTCCTCTTACATCTCTTCAACAGTAGTGTATGCCAGTCTGGATCTGTGGTATCTTTATCCTGTTCAGGTGAGTTTTATTTTTACAAAGGCAGCACCTGTCACTAATATTGTTTACAACACCTAACAAGGCAGAGTGAAGTTCTTGGCTTTGTAAGTGGAAGACTACTTGTTGTGTGGAGAGTTTCACACTAACAGGCCCATACATGTCTCCAGGAAACAGCAGAACTATTTCCTAGCGACATATAACAAAGTAGCAGATAAACAGACATAATATAAAATGCAGTTTGAAATGAACCACGGGTCCTTGCAAATAACAATATTATAATATCTTATCAGACTGTGGAAATGTGGGCGCTGATGATCGCATCGTTGGGGGCACTGATACATCCATTGACCACTGGCCATGGCAGGTCAGCCTGCAGCGGTCTGGCCAACATACATGTGGAGGCTCACTGGTGTCACCGCGCTGGGTAGTCACTGCTGCCCACTGCTTCACTGGGTCAGTATAGTTACCATACAATATCATTTCCACTAAATTTGCTTTGTCTTATTCTTTAGCCTCATGATCCCGCTTCCTTCTTGCTCTCTCTCTCTTTCTTTTTTTTATTTTTATTTTTTTTGCAGAAGTAATAAGGAGTTGAGGCAATGGGCAGTGGTGTCAGGCCAGACGAGCATAATCACACTGGGAGGCTCCTCTGTGGACAGAGTTATAGTGAATGCAGACTACAATGCAGAAACAAATGACTATGACATAGCACTGATGAGACTCACTAGGCCAATCACAGTGTCAGGTTAGTTTAAATTGTATTCGGTATGTTTGTATTCAGTAGGCTCAACCACCTCTCTGTTGCCCTCTAGTGGCTATGCGTCAAATATCAAGCTTCTCACTACGTAGTAACTTATATTCATTATATTGTGTGATTAGCTTATATCTTTATATGTATTTTCAAACTCTCAAAGTTACATAAAACAAATAAAAATTTCCACTTTATTAAATGTTTTTCTTCTAGATGTCAGAAGACCAGTTTGTCTGCCTCCTAAAGACTATAGCATTACAGCTGAAACCTACATGACAGTGACAGGGTGGGGATACCGACGGGAAAATGGTGAGAAATCCTACATGTAACCTATTCTTTACCACCTAATAATGCAAATAGAAAAAATACTTTTGCCTGTCTATGAGGTTGCAAACATTGTGTGCTTGTGTTCTGCCTTCAGGTGCAGTTGCTGACATACTGCAGGAGGCCAAAATCCCTCTGATAGCTCAGTCAGTATGTTCCAGCCCCACAGTCTATGGTAGTATCATAACAAATAGGATGCTCTGTGCAGGCTTCCCAGAAGGGAAGGTTGATGCCTGCCAGGTAACAGGCCTCCAATTTATTTTCTAATTTACATTAGATTTTGTATTCTGGGTATTATAGTTATTTTTGGTGAACAAACTTCATTTTTAAAATGTATTTTAAATGTCAGGGGGACAGTGGAGGCCCTTTGGTGCATATCAGTGACTCCAGTTGGAATCTGGTAGGCGTAGTGAGCTGGGGTGTTGGCTGTGCCCGGAAGGGAAAGCCAGGTGTTTACACCAACGTAGAAGTGATGCTCAACTGGATCCAAACAGTCATTGAGGTACTGCATATGTTGAACACAAAGTCACTTCACTGGCTAAGAATTTGCCTCAAAAATATTAAAAACATAATATTGTAATTTAATATATACAATCCTCAAGATGATTTCTATTTCATCTCTACAGAAAAACCCATGATGTCATCCACTGCGATAAACAACCACCATGAGAATCCAGTGCGGTCTACCTCTGATAGACTGTGAAACTGTCAAACCTGGTTTTGTTTTGGTTTTTTGAGGGGTTTTTTCCATTTTGGTTGCCAAAAGGTGAGAGAAGGTTGCAGAGAGAGGGGAAGTTGAAGATCTCAACAGCAAAATGGAAACAGAAACACAGCCATATGCATAAACAAAGTGCGCGCGCATGCACACGCACACACTTCATCAAACACACACGTCAGGTGCTGCTTGTGCCATTTCATATTCGTTATCTCAGGGGACAATTGTATTTATGCCTGTAGCTGTGTGAACTAGTATGTTTGGGATCTTTATAGCAGAGTGTCATACATGTTTTTTTTTGTTTTTAAAGCATTTTTGTGTTCGTATGTGTCTTTGTCACACCCAAGTAATTGACTTGTGTTGTTGTTTTGTTTTCCTTAGAGAAGAACCATCAAAGTTTATTTTATTTATATTGACACTAATTGATGCAAACGCTTTTTTTTTTTTTTTTTTGTGTGTGTCTTTTATTTTTGGAGTTTGTCCTGCAAGCCTCAGATATAATGTACTTGATTACTGTGTGCCTTGACTTTTGGTTATGAATGTGTGGTTAGGGTTAATATGTCCAACTGCTACAGAGAAAGGTAACATACCTTATTATCAGGTATCGGTAATATTTTAAAAGTGACAAAAGGTCTGAGTTTAATGCATTTATTGTGCTATTTTAGATGATCACTCTATTAAAGGGCAATGGCACTTTCTTTTTCTTTTTTTTCTTTCTCTTTTTTTTGCAGGACTGCAGGTGTGATACTTCTGACCTCAACATGATTTAGCACTTTAAGTGGAAAGTGAGAATTAAAGGACCTCACTTTATGCGCAGAGGATTTAGGTCACGAGTCTACACATAGATTTAATACAAATATTCATAGATCACACTCCATGTTGGTTCCATCATGAGTAAGCAACTCATACTCTCACTATAGCCAGAATATTTCAACTAGTGTTCACCAAGTTATTTCCTTCACTGCAAGGGAATTTCTCCCAAAAATACTGCAGAATTTGTTTTTGTCAAATTTATTGCAGTTGGTTAATTTTTGCACTCAACCAAAACTCATTCAAACAGGAAATCAACCTGAATTTGTTATAAAACTGTTTCTTTACTTTAAAAAAAAGTACTTTATTATATCATATATTAAATAGAGTTGGACATGAGTATGAGTGCCATGGGGACTAATATTTGTGAATATTTTCCATTTTGTTGTTCTTGTTGTTGATGTTGTTGTTGTTTAATATATGAGACGTTTGCAAAGACAATAAAAACAATGTTAACTTGGCAACTGGGACAATTGTTCTATTCTTAATTGTGTGTCGTTAAATGTTTGTGTCATCCCAGCCTCAAAGAAACACCCACAGACCTTAAATTAAAGTGATGAAGAAATATTTTTTTATCATTATTTACATTATGAACAAAAGATGAAATATTAGATCAAACTTTTAATTCAAACTTTTTGCACAATCAGATGATAGCCCACCTTCCCTGGAGAAACAATCATTTGTTCAGCATGATTGAAGATTAAAGAAATACTGCCCCCTTATGGTCAACAAAGTACAGGGACTTTACTCCATTAACCCTTTAAACCCTAACCCATCTTTAAAGCAGGGGTGCGCAACTCCAGGCCTCAAGGGCCGGTGTCCTGCAGGTTTTAGATGTCAAACACCTGAATCAAGTGATTAGCTCATTACCAGGGGCCTGTTCTTCGTACCGCGCTAAGTGAGTTAGCTGGATGAGATTGTTGACGATTTCGCGTGATCC